CGTTTCCTAACGCAGCACTCGCCAATGTTACAGTTGCATGATTGTTTGTGACACCTGCCCCTGTCAAACCAGCGACTAAGAGCATGAGCAACGATCAACACAGTCGTATTTCGATGACACAGAGTCAGCCAGACCAAAGGTCTGAATGTCTGGGTTCTCTTCACGAAGCAATCGAGGCGTTAAGATGATCGTAGCTCTCCGACCAAAACATAGACTTACCACAGTCTCGAGCTAGAATAACATCGTGTGACGGAGCCCAGATCGAAAATCTATGTGCACTATATTCTGGATATTGTAAACATCCACTACATACTTTCTCCGGATTCTGAACACAGTGGATCCTTCACACACCCTCTGGATCCTGCACACACCCTCTGGATCCCGTACACACCCTCTGGATCTTGTACACATCCTCTGGATCCTGCACACACCCGCTGAATCCTGTACACACCCTCTGGATCCTGCACACACACCTCTGGATCCTCATCTGGATCCTGCTCTCTGGATCCTGCCCTCTGGAAACACCCTCTGGATCCTGCTCTCCTCTGGATCCATCCTCTGGATCCTGCACACACCACATCCTCTGGATCCTGTACACCCCACTGGATCCTCTGGATCCTCTGGATGTTACACACACCTTCTGGAGCCTGCACACACCCTCTGGATCCTGCACACACCCACTGGATCCTTCTCACACCCTCTGGATCTTACACACATTTGGATCCTACACACACTCTCTGGATCCTGTACACATACTCTGGATCTTATACATCCTCTGGATCTTACACACACCCTATGGATCCTGCTCACACCCTCTTGATCTTACGCTCCCTCTGGATCTTACATGAACTCTGGATCTTACACTCTCTCTGGATCCTGCACACAACCTCTGGATCCTGCTCACACCCTCTGGATCTTACTCTCCCTCTGGATCTTACACATCCTCTGGATCTTACACACCCTCTGGATCTTACTCTCCCTCTGGATCTTACACACACTCTGGATCTTACACACACTCTGGATCTTACACACCCTGTGGATCCTGTACACAACTTCTTGATCCTGCACACACCATCTGGATCCTGCACACATCTTCTGGATCTTACACACACCTTCTGGATCCTACACACACCCTATGGATTCTGCACACACACACCCTGGATCCTGCACACACCCTCTGGATCCTGCACACATCTTCCGGATCTTACACACCCTTTTGATCCTGTACAAATCCTCTGGATCTTGCAGAGACACCCTGGATCCTGCACACACTCTCTGGATCTTACACACCCTCTCGAACTTACACACCCTCTGGATCTTTTGGATCTTACTCACCCTCTGGATCTTACACACCCTCTGGATCTTACACACCCTCTGGATCTTACACACCATCTGGATCTTACACACCCTCTGGATCTTACACACCATCTGGATCTTACTCACCCTCTGGATCTTACACACCCTCTGGATCTTACACACCATCTGGATCTTACACACCCTCTGGATCTTTTGGATCTTACACACCCTCTGGATCTTACACACCCTCTGGATCTTAAATACCCTCTGGATCTTAAACACCCTCTGGATCTTACACATGCTCTGGATCTTTTGGATCTTACACACCCTCTGGATCTTAAACACCCTCTGGATCTTAAACACCCTCTGGATCTTTTGGATCTTACACACCCTCTGGAACTTTTGGATCTTACACACCCTCTGGATCCTACACAACCTCTTGATCTTACACACCCTCTGGATCTTACACACCCTCTGGATCTTTTGGATCTTACTCACCCTCTGGATCTTTTGGATCTTACACACCCTCTGGATCCTACACAACCTCTTGATCTTACACACCCTCTGGATCTTACACATGCTCTGGATCTTACACACCCTCTGGATCTTTTGGATCTTACACACCCTCTGGATCTTACACATGCTCTGGATCTTACACATCCTCTGGATCTTACACAACCTCTGGATCTTCTGGATCTTACACACCCTCTGGATCTTACATAACCTCTGGATCTTACACACCCTCTGGATCTTACACACCCTCTGGATCTTACACAACCTCTGATCTTACACACCCTCTGGATCTTACACAACCTCTGGATCTTACACACCCTCTGGATCTTACACACCCTCTGGATCTTACACACCCTCTGGATCTTACACACCATCTGGATCTTACACACCCTCTGGATCTTACACCATCTGCATCTTACACACCCTCTGGATCTTACACACCCTCTGGATCTTACACACCCTCTGGATCTTACACACTCTCTGGATCTTACACAACCTCTGGATCTTACACACCCTCTGGATCTTACACACCCTCTGGATCTTACACAACCTCTGGATCTTACACAACCTCTGGATCTTACTTTTTGGATGACAACTTATATATATTATGATGCAACGTTTCGGTACATGATGGTTCCGGTACAGGTTGTTTAAACCTAGAAGTTGTCATCCATAGAGTATCTTACCTTTCTTATTATTCATCAACTTCGAAAATGCCAATCAAACAACTCACTTACACTCACTCACTCGCCCCTTAGCGGTACCTTTTTAACCTTGCACCAATAATTCATAAAGAAATTTCTTGTTACATCTGTCGAGAAAGAAAATGAATTGTAGTTGAACCGCCCTGTCCTCGTTTCTTATTCCGGAAAAAAACTTGTTTTAGTCACGATATGGCTGAAATATTGCCGATGTGACTTAAAATCGTAACTCACTCACTCTTCCGGGAAACATCATTGCAAAGTACATGTATTTTATGTGCGCTTCACGGTCCAAAACGATGAAACAAGCAGTGCTGTTTTCAGCCTGATGGAGAGACATCACACTGAATTCCGATGCATAGGCGGATCCAAGAGTGTGTGTGTGTGTGTGTGTGTGTGTGTGTGTGTGTGTGTGTGAGTGAGTGAGTGAGTGTGTGAGTGAGTGTGTGTGTGTGTGTGTGTGTGTGTGTGTGTGTGTGTGTGTGTGTGTGTGTGTGTGTGTGTGTGTTCAGGGGTTCGAACCTCCCCTTTTGAAAATGACTTAAGACCACATTGAAGATTTATATTGCCTTTGGCGGAGCCAAATGGGGTGGGGTGGGGGTGGTTCAGGGTTCGAACTCCTGAACACCCCCCAACCCCCTTTCAAAATTCCTGGATCCGCCCATGCGATGTACTGTTTGTACATTCTAGGTCAGATGGTAACAGATGCAGAGGCAGGATGTATGTACTGTGCAATATTTGTATCCAGTTTGCTATGTGGTAGGATGGATGATTAAACAACTCAGTTTTGAGATATGGCAACTGGTGAATATCAAATACTTTGTAAAGAATAACAAGTTGAATTATGAATGAGTATGTAAGCCTGTCTGGCAACATTTCATGAACGGAACATGGAAACTCTGCCGGAGATTGCGTGTTATTTTATAAGCTATAAAATGTTCTTGTCAATTTTTAATAAACACATTAAAACAAACAATGATTTTGTGTCAAACTGGTTTTTGGCATCTAGTTCATATTCACTGCGTCATCTCCTCCCCGAATGTCTCAATGTAAAAAGAAACAGATTTCAAAATGGGCACACTAATTCTCTTTTAATGGTCTTCTTCACTTTGAAAAACGTTATGGAATATCACAAAAGCCGCACCACACCCGCCTCTGTTGTCAATAATTAGCTGTATATCACTCCGTTTTGTTTCACATCTCCTTATCCTCATTGTTTGTGTCAGCTGGCTTTACCTTATTCCAATTATCATTGTTTTCATAACTGCTTCTGATCGGTCCTCTGTGATTGATTGTATATACAATACAATATCTGGCTTCCTGTAAATCTGGTATATATAGTTTGTTTTCAACATCTGTCTTTAGAGTCTTTGAAGGACATCTGTCTTTAATCACCGGACTTTAATCATCTGACTTGGTTGACACATGTCATCGGTTCCCAATTGCGCAGACTCGATTATTTACAGACCGCGGCGTAAAACTAAATCCACTCACTCACTTAATCACCCGAAGAAGGGGCAAGCAGTAGTCCAGAAACGTCGTGTTATACAACAAATTAAGTTGCCATCCATATACTTGTCTTAATTCCTGCATTCGATCATTAAATGATGTAAAAGTGAGTGAGTATGGTTTTACGCATCTTTTAGCAATATTCCAGCAATATCACGGCGGAGGACACCAGAAATGGGCTTCTCACATTGTACCAGTGGCTTGTCACATCAGAGACCATATTATATTATATATCACTAGGCTATCACACCGCGCAGATGTAAAGAACTACGCAAGTTGCAAGGATGCATTAAATAATCACGGAAGGTGTTATCATACTACCTTGTACAGTTATACTATACTTTCTTTTTATTATATATTTTTATATTTAACTAATTTATTATTCCCACAAAAGATCAAAATTAACTGGATAACGGTGGTTAATTTTGCGTATGCTACTCGATGCGCAGTTTGTCAGGAACTCCAGTTAAGATAACTCCATACCAACGCATTCTCCATCCTCATTTAGATTTCCGGCTCATGATATTGTTTAATTGTTTCTATACCGATAAGTATACCCTGAGAAGACATGATCGATGTGTGTCCGTTTTGAACATCTACCACCAAGGAGCTGCACATTTGAAATCACAGAAAACAACAACACAAACAAACAAAATTTAAATAGTTGCAATAGAAAAGCCATAAAATCATCCTCGGAAATATCATCAGTTTCCATCTGCAGAGCTCATTGTTGTCAATGTTTATTTTGCCTTGTCGTTAGATAATCATCTTCATAATTTAGTGATATATACATTATTGGTTTCCATTGATAGTAATTCTCGACATTATATTTCCATGAAAGTTATTATATTTGTTGTTTGTTTTTAATCAGTCAACAAGCTAACTACCTTGGTAGCTTGTTCAATGTTCGTCTGCCACGTGCACCTGTTCCATAAATAGACTGAGCCCGGCGCGATGATTCCTCATGAATATTCATCATCACAAACATGGCGCCGTCCATGGTTGTGTTGGTTGCTGTGAACCTTTTGCTTGAGCAAAGTTTATTGACGAGTGGCTTTACGCATTGGGTTGTCACTGAGGATGGTAGAGTACAATCTCAGGTATGTGAATATTATTTAATTATACATAGATATGTGTAAGAAATGCAAGATGAGATATTTGTTTACATCGTTTGAGCTTGTCAATACTCGCTGATCCAGCTTGTCTGTCCGGAACACAAAATATTTTCGTAAGTTGGCTGTCAGTTCTGATACCTTGAGATCTATGGGCAACATATCATTACACAGAAAGTAAGTATATTTAATCAAGATGGACATACGAGTTAACAGCATGTCATTTAGCTCAAGACGTTTCAGTTGTACTTTGAACTGAGTACGGTGACTTAAGCTGTCGACAAGTCCTTTGAATGATTTTGACCAGGTCAGGAGTGAGCAGCATCATAGTAACGCAGGTAGTTTCATTGTTGCTGCCTAAAATGCCAGTCAGGGAATTTTTCTGTATTTTGTAATATTTTCAAAGATTATTGCTATAATACCCATACTGAAGTGAGAAAATTTGCAATAGTTATTGAGTCTACTGTATGGTGGTGTCCCAGAATCTACCCTAGTCAAAATGAGAAAACAGAAACGAACACAGGGACTATTTCATTCCAACCATTTTCTTGATGCGAACTGTCATACTGCTGTGTGAGATAAATTGGATTGTGTTACATAAGTATACACAGTGATGAATATTGTATGGAAGCATAGTATCACTTGTAATCAGGCAAAAGGGAACTATGAGATAATTGCTTTCGGGTTAGGTTGAGGAACATAGGAGACTCGTCAGTCATTTAGGGTACTGAGTACATTTATGTATTTTGATTTGAGTTTGTTTCAGGTACTTTTCTGTATGCAGAAACGTACCTGGCGTACATATTTACCTGTGCCGGAATGACCCCTTCAGTTATATTACCAGAAAAGGTTTCATGTATTTTCCCCTAATACTACAAATTAGGTTCCTCTTTGTACGCACAGGTGTACTCAATCCAAATTCAGAGTACAGAATGTTTCATAGTACTGAGTACACCCATCTAGTTCCTTTGGTGATTTTCGTAATGCCAAAAATAAGTAATAAAACTGGTTTAGAGAATGCATACTGTTGCTTACTCACAGTCCCTGAACCGTATGGGCAGTGGGGTTGCCTAGTGGTTAAAGCATTGGCTTGTCACACTGAAGGCCCAGGTTCAATTCCCCATATGGGTACAATGTGTGAAGCCCATTTCTGTGCCCCCCCCTCTCCTACTGTGATATTGCTGGAATATTGCTAAAAGCTGTGTAAAGCCTCACTCACTGACTGATCCAACCATTTATTTTTAAATTGAAAAGTAGCCACAGTGAGGTGGGAGATTCAGAGGAAATCTAGTTTTGCTTCTTTTAGGACTTAACATTGCAGAAAGAGCAGGGCAGAAGGGAAAATAATGCAGTTGAGGAACTGTGAGACAGACTAAGTATCCAAAAGGGCAGGCGGTTTTAGAATTTCAAGCTTTTAAGGGTGTGTCTCGTTGGGATGTCATGTCATGACAATGCCCCGATGACATGTGATAAATTATTCACAATATGACGTGTTGTGATACAGAATTTGAGACAGTTTTGTGTGAATTTGTATATTTGATAGGTCATTAACATTATTGAAAAGGCTTAAAAACTGAGTATCTGGTCCCATAAAATATATATCTCATTTCAATCAATACTTTTGTTCAGATATAATTGGGATTGTCAACATAGCATGTTCTGTTATCAAATAAAATAGCTCATTCTGTGTGTATAATACTTCAGATGTGCACCCGAAAATACGTTAATTATATATGAATTAAAAGGTCAAGGTGTGATATGATACAGGGTTAAAATATGAATTGATACAGGATTAAAATATGAATTAATACAGGGTTAAAATATGAATTGATACAGAATTAAAATGTGAAATAATACTGATTAAAATATGAATTGATACAGGATTAAAATATGAATTGTATTAGTATTACAATATGAATTGATAGAGGTAAGCCTGTATCATGTGTCATATCGTCTGAGAATATTATCATTGTACTGGTGAATCATGAAGTTTCTTTTGTTCTGATATGTTATCAGTAATAGCCTATTTGTAGGGCTTGTAAATGATTCATCTGTATACACGTTGGATGTCAGTATACCTGTATTATGTATATAAAAGTTGAGGGGCTTTTAATGATATATTTTAAGCACACTGATGACTAGGGTTCAATTCCCCACATGGGTACAATGTGTGAAACTCGTGTAGTGACATGACAAGTCATGTGATTTGTTATAAGATTGTTGTAACAATTTGTCATAATACCTGACAATTTGCACTCAGGGACACAACACTGTCTAATTTCTAATATAGGTTATGAACATCTTCCCCACTTCTGTCATAGTGCTAAGGTGGTTGGTTTGGTTTGTTGTTGAACGCAACACATTATGTGTCTTAGCAATATTCCAGCTATATAGTGGTGGTCTCTCAAAAATCTGGACCAGACAATCCAGTGATCAACGTCATGAGAACTGATGAATGCAAACTGGGATGCGATGTCAACCAAGTCAGCGAGCTTGACCACCCGATCCCGTTTGTCGCTCTTATGACAAGCATAGGTTGCTAAAGACCAATTCTAATTGTTCCCCGCCGCAACGTGGAACGGCGGACTATGTATTCAGCGGCATCCGTACGTACGTCCCGATTCTTGTTAACGCGATATCTCATGAACTGTTGTACCCAATGTCTTCAAATTTGGTGACAGCCTACATTGGGGAATTACGCAGACACCAGTCGATTTGGGTGACCTTGACCTTATTTTCAATGTCACCACGACACTGACCACTTTTCAAACTCTTGTTAACGCGATATCTCATCAACTGTTGTACCCAATGTCTTCAAATTTGGTGACAGCCTACATTTGGGGATTACGCAGACAACAGTTTATTGGGTGACCTTGACCTTACCTTCAAGGTCGCCACGACACTTTGACCGCTTTTCAAACTCTTGTTAATGTGATATCTCATCAACTGTTATACCCAATGTCTTCAAATTTGGTGACAGCCTACATTTGGGGATTACGCAGACACCAGTTTATTTGGGTGACCTTGACCTTACCTTCAAGGTCACCACGACACTTTGACCGCTTTTCAAACTTATTTTAACGCGATATCTCATAAAACATTGCTCCTAATGTTTTCAAGTATGTTGACAGCCTACATTGGGTGATTATGCAGACACCAGTCATTTCAGGCATCTTGTAAGTTTGACTTGTCTTCTGGTCCAAGAATAGTGATAAGTTAGTTGAGGGAAAACAGTGTTCAAGATTATTTCAGATATATGGCGATGTGCATGCATGTGTGTGGCTGGTCCTTCTAGTCTTGATTAATGTTGGTATTCTGATGCCAACCCGCTGAGATACCATGCTGCAGGTTACACATAGTTACCACAGAGACACAGTACACTGACTCTAATCCTGGGTTATCCCATTAGTGCAGACAGGGTAACAAGCCCCTGTTATTACATGGCACAGCTGGTGGATCAAACTGTTGAACTTCTGCTTTCCATAGAAAAAAGCAAGGACGAGTAATATTGCCTCATAGCATCTATCTTGAACATGACAGTGTTGTAAGAATAGTCACCATGAATTATGATCATGGGTATTAAATTTATGTACCTTGTGGTGATTTAGGTATATAGAATGGGTTCTCAGCAACCTTTGCTGGTTGGAAGAGGTGACTTAGTAGAGTAAGTGGTAGGACTTGGTGACTTGGTTGATATCACTGAACCCCAGTGGTGTAGATCTAGATCATTGCTCAATAAATCAACCACTGGATTGTCTGGTCCAGATGCAAATAATAACAACTCTTGTCTAACATGTTACTGAATGCAACATGATTGTATGTCATTTTACCCCAATCAAGTGGATCACAGGTAGTATAAAGCACTAGATTATCTGATTAGCTCAGTGGGCGGTAAATGGCAACTTTAAGTGGGGTAGCATAGTGGTCAAAGCGTTGGCTCGTCACGCCGAAGACCCGGGTTCAAATCCCCACATGGGTACAATGTGTGAAGCCCATTTCTGGTGTCCCCCGCCGTGATGTTGCTGGAATATTGCTAAAAGCGGCGTAAAACCAAACTCAGTCAGTCAGTCAGATTAACTCAGTTATTTACAGACTTCCACCATGTAACTGGAATATTGTTGAGTGTGGTGTGATTGTGTGTCGTCATAACCCATATGTTCATAATATTGACCTCTGGATAATCAAAAACAGTTAATTACAGTCTGCATCATATAACTGGAATAATGCTGACTCTGTTAAGTGTGGGGTTAGACAACAAATAAATAACATAGACCTAAGTGTGTAACGTTTTACAGTGCACATGGCCCTAAAATGGAAGTATTGGCTACTGATGAAATCTCCCTGACAACCAAGCTGGATTACTGACCCAGCACGTGACACGCTCCCTATCCTATTAGAAGGATAGTCACAGACACTCCTCTTTTTGTCCAGTAGCAGTTGATGCTGTATGTGTACTGCTGATTTTATTCTTCTCCTTCATTCCCTACAATTTCCATCCAGCATTTTTATGGCCTAATATTTAGGTTGCCCTATCATTTTATCATTTTTTAATGTCCATGCTGACATTTGCATATGTAATGGTCCTTCCAAGTTGTTTTCTTTGTTTAATCGGGCAGGAAACTTTCTGTTTCCTGTGTTGTATTGAAATAATGAATATTCAGTCAAGGAAGTAGGTTCCTTCTCTTGAAAAAAACGTTAATTTTCCTCGGCTGACTGGGATTTTATCATGTTAATATCTCTAACAGGATGTTCACTTTTCAGTTTTGTCAGACCCAGATGTAGTAGCTTCCTGCCATTGTTCTGTATGAACCCAGATTTCAGACCACTCAGTCTGACCACAAAGATAGTTCTTGTATTGAAAGTCCATGTTATTCAATTCATGTTCATGACTAGTCAAAACAAGAGTGAGTGAGGTTTTACGCCGCTTTTAAGAATATTTCTGCAGTATTACGACAGGGAACACCAGAAATGGTCTTCACACATTGTAT